CGGCTTCCTCGGGGCAGGTGTAGCCAGGTACCTTTGACCTTTGTCGCCCCACTGACCTAAACTGCTGGAAGGGCAAATGATCCCCAGATTATCGTCCAGTCTCCAAGCCGCTGTCTGAGGGCAGACGGAGCTAAATTAGAGGGTAGGGGCAGCATAAAACCTGCTCAAACTAGGACAGGACCCTGGTAGACAGTCACGTGTTTTGGAGCCATGACAGCCATGAAGATTTTACCACATACAGCCTCTCCTCAAGGCTGGGCCCCCGGTGGTGGTGAGAATCCCCTGGGGCTAGAGAGCTGGTCTTCAGGACTGTAATACAGGAAAGGTCTTCACTAACATTCACAATAGGAACTTCACGGCTGGCTTATGGTTGCAAGGTTAGAATCGTGAGCGGCCCACCGCGGAAACACCTCCTCAAGAGGCAATCTTGCTGTGAATTTCCTGGGGAGAGGGGGGCATGGTGACAAATGCAGGCAGGTAGGAGGTTTAGTTGTGCCAGCATTCTCTGCAAAGTGTAAGAAAGCACTCTGAATGAAACACACTCTACCTCACCCTCCCCAGGGTCAAATGACCACAATTCACAGCCGTAATTGGTTAAAGGAATATCAATAGAAGAGTCTCAAACAGTGAGCAATGGATAGCATTTTCTCCTAGGTATACAGATCTTTTCTTTACCATTTTTTAACTTTCAAAAAATAACACAAGAGCAAAATTAATAAAATATGATTCACCGCCACAATTAACAAGTAACACTTTGTCACATTTGTCACTTTGTCAGGTTTTTAAAATGCAATATTACAGATACAGAGGAGACCTCCTCTGCCCCTCCTCTCCCCGGAGCCACTCCCTGCCTTCCCAGGAGGCAACCAATTTCGTGGACTGGGCGTGGATCCTTCTACTTTGTGTGTTCGTGTTACCCCGCTCTTCATATACATTCACAACCCAAATAGATGTTGTCTTGTGTTTTAAAAATGTATAATAAGAGCATGTGTCACATTGTATATATTATGCTGGATTTTTTTCATATAATTTTGTGTTTTAGTGATTCATCCATGTATCTGAGTACAGATCTGGTTGATTTATTTTAATTGTTACATTCTATGAAATTTACACTACATTTTAATGATCCAGTCCCTTTCTGACAATCATTGAGGTGGTTTCTAATTTCTGTTATTACAGTGTTGCGATAAACATCCTATACATATCTCCTTAGGCACATGTTCCAGAGATATTGCAGGATATAGACCTAGGAGTCCAATGCTGGGTTTTAATTTTACTAGACAGGGCAAATCGTTCTCTAAATGGCGTAGTTTCTACTTCTCATTTTCATCACACTTGTACTGTGAGGCTATTTAATGTTTGCTAATCTGATAAGTGTGAAATGATATTTCATAGTCATTTTAATATGCCTGCCCCGTACGAACCATGAAGGTAAACATCTTTACATGTGTGACTATTATATTAATAGCTTCCTCTTCTGCAAAATACTTGTTCAGCCATTCCACTTTCTAAAACACCATGAGAAGATATTTACTGTGTGGATGATATGAATGCACTGGTAGTTCTGGGATCTGAAACATCAAGTAGGGGTTATTAAGAGCTGACATAAGACTAACACATTCTGGAACGCCAGAGCACTACGGCTCAAACTGGGGTCACAGCAGCATCGCAATTTTGCTGGTAAAATGAATGCTTGTTACAGGTTACATGTTTCTGTGGGTTAATGGATGATTTAAATTCTATACAAATTATGCTACAATCTATATGATTCATGATTCTGAGAAAAACGAAGGAGCGGGAGTCTCTGGCTTAGAGCTATGAAGTAGGGCCTGTTTTCATTTATGTCTAAAGAGATCAAAAGGCAAAGGAGTATCCTCCAGTGCCCCTCCTCCAGGCAGCCTGGTGAGCAAGCGCACGCACACTTGAACACAAAGCAGGGACGAGGGCATCAACTCTGTCACATCAGAAAACAGAAACAGTAATAGAGTAAGCCAATCATCCTTATTTAAATACCACAAATAGCTCTAACGCAAGGGAAGGGCATGTATATTTGGGGGGTAAGAATTTTCCTAACTGTAAAATTGTAAATCGTACTGCTTGTTCTTAAGACAACCATTTTCACAGAAAGGAATTTTTTTCCTTTAGATTTTGCTTATACACTTTAAAACCACACATCACTGTTACAGGGCATTTGCATCTTATGCCCAAGAGGGATCTGTCAAATCTGCATATATTCTCTAGGTGTCTGAAAGCTGACCGCTACAGAGATGCCAAAGATCGTCTCTGCACAAGCGGGAAGGACCGTCTCCCAGCCAAAGGTAACTGGATGTTGAGGTCACTTTTGAGGAGCTATATGACAATATCCATAATCCAAGAAAACAGTTAACCTAAAGGACTTTAGAGCTGACTTTGTAATATGCTTTTGTCCTTGTATTTGAACTCAAATGTGTTTGAAGTAAATGGAGTTAAAAACCATTTTAAAAATAAAAATAGTCCCAGGAGGGAGAACACATCAAAGGACCTGTCAAGTTCCCCTCTCTGTCCCTCTGGTTTTGTGTTTCTCAGCTGAGGTTGGTCATTAACCACTCTCAGCTGCAGAAGAGGCTCCTGTGTCTGGCAGGCCCACCTACAATGTGCAGGGCCCGCTGACAGGGCTCCCTCTCTAGGGCACGCTGCCAGCAGTTGGTCTGTACCTTCCGAGGGCAACAGCAGACAAGCGCTTTGGTTTCAGGAGCACACAACATCAGCCTCCTTCCATTTAAGCCAACTCTGCAAAGGACTCCTGACGTTTCCCCTCGGTTGGAGGAAGCAACCCCGCGAGGATGATGACAGCACCGTGTTACAACTGTGTATGGGACTCCCCAGTCCTGCCACTCCGTGGCCAGCTCCCCCAGCCCGAACCTCTCCAATAACAGACTTGACAGAGAGGTCTTTTGGGGACTCCATTCTCATACCGAGGACAACTTGGGGTGATCCTAGGACCACTTGGTTCACATATCTCAAAGGGGTGGTTGAGTCCTCATAAACATGTGACAGCTGTGAACGGCTCTCTTTTGCCTACACTGGGGCCTCTCCTCTGTTGACAAAGGCACAGCGACAGACACCTTCCCCAGGCCACACCTACAAGATAAACAGTCACTTCATTCCCAACACTCTAAGGCCTGGTTTTTCTATGGCAAATACTAACCACACGTCAGGCAGAGTTCCACCAGCAATCATGGTCATGGGCTGAGACCCCTTTGGTACCAAACTCTGACCACCCGAGGCAACCACAAAGAACAGTATGTGAGGAAAACTTACCTTAATGGGCCCCGAACCCGAACAGTGGCCTTTTTAGTGCCATACTCCACTCAATACAACCTTATTCCAGGTTGTTGGATTCCTGGCTAGGCAAGTAAAAAGATAACGACACCAAAGGTAGAGCACAGGGATGGGGAAGGGGGGAGACGGGATTTCTCAAGGCAGGAGTTATGTTCCTGGAATTCTTGGTTAGACCAGGAAAAGAATTTTCTCAAAGCAAAAGTATTATAAATGAAATCAGGCATCAAGTTTACAATCCTATTCTGTTTTACATATTCTTTTGTAATTTAGCACAAATACTCTTTCCTTGTAGGGAAGGTACATTTAAAGCCTAAAGTAAACTTGAAGAAACTTCAGAACACTGCATATTTGTGAGCTGAGAACTTGTTTTGCTAGAGGATGAACTGATTTCATCTAACAGTCCATCATTTCAAAAGTTCTGGCAGGTGATAAAATCAACTGAATTTCCAAACATTTGAATGGAAAAGGGAAACAGTAAGACCACCCTTGCTGCTTCCCTCCCCCCACCTCCTGTTGAGCAGTTGCCTTATGCAAGGTTTAAGCAACTGATGAACTGGTTATAGTTATGACTGGTTATACTTATGGCCATCCTGAACTTCCCTCAGAATATCTATCACCACATAGTAACCGTCTGCCTGCCCCACTCACTCCACTAGAATACAAGCTTCAGGGGAAAGGGGTCTTTTATTTGCCCATTATTGTAGCCCCCACTACGCGCATAGTAGGCACTTATTAAGTGTCTGTTGCATGAAGGAATGAGTAAAATGGCTGACTCATAGTAAGTACTAGTAAAGGATTTGTGAATAAAACATCTTTAAGACTATTGGGAGAAGTAATTGATGTCAAATAGACCCTTTAAGAGGACAGAGGAGGAGGAACTCTTGCCTGGAAAATTTTATTTGCAGTGACCTTGAGCACCAGGAACCCACATTTTTAGGTTGGGATGTGCAAGTAGTCTCTGAGAATTCTGTACAATGAAGACGTGATTCCATTTTATAACTACACATTGTAGATGGCACTATTGGACTTACAGAAGGCTCAACCGAAGCTGGCCTTTGGGCAGAATGACCCAGCAGAACTTAAAAACAGAGAGAAATAAACCTATGCACTGACAACCTCTGGAATAGGGAGACGCCCAATTCCAGTTAAAGGCTGTAAGCAGATCCCCAGAGGTGAAGGAGGCCGCTCCAGCTGGACCCTTCATCAGCGGGTGGCCAGGGCTCTCTCAGTGGTGTCGATTCCAAGTGGCAGTGCCACAGGTTAGAGCAACAATCCGCTTTCGTATTCACCGTGGATCACAGGTAACAACAGAATTTTGCATCCCTTAGTAACTAGCCAGTCAGCTCAAGTACCCCCGACCTTACACGCGTGCGCGTGCACAAACACACTCCTTGCCCCACTAGGGGTGAGAGGGTGGGTGGGCCTGGTAGAACCACCCAAGCAGGAGGGTCGGAGGCTGAGAGGCTAGCTGGTGACCTTGGCGTCCCGGGGCCCAGCCCCGCCCTCGCGCAGGGTTAGGCGGGAAGGCTCCCCACACCTCGGGTGTTCACAGCGCCTCCGCAGCAGGCCAGGCGTCGCAGGGCGGGGGCAGGGCGGGGGGAGAGGGGGTATGCCTAGTCCAGGGCAGAACGCCCGGGAGCAGGGGACTTGGGACGCTGTCGGGGCGGCGAGACACTCACCTGCAGCAGCACGGCCAGCAGGAAACACAAGTACATCTGGTAGATGCCCATCTCCCCCACCGCTTGGAACGCCTCCTCCACCTCCATGGCGCCCCCCACTCTGGCGGGGCCCTCGCTCCCCCGGCACCGCTCCGGCTAGGACTCCCTCCCGGACGCTGGCCGGAACGCTCGCCGGGCGGGCGTGGCGGGGGCGGTGGCAGCGCTGAATCCTGGGCTGTGCGCGGACTACGTGGGATCCGAGCTGGATGCCTGATCCACTGGCCTCCGCGTTTCCTGGTTTGTTGTTTTTTTTTTTTTTTTTTTTTTTCTCTGAGAGGAATCGGTGCCTGCGCCGCTTGAACAAAGAGGAAGAGGAAGTGGCTTGGCCAGAGGCACCCTTGCCGATGGAGAGAACGGGAGCCGCAGCCGCGTCCAACCCTGGTCCCTGCTTCAGGGCGCAGGGGGGCGCGATAACAGCTGGGCGGCCTGGTGGCAGCTCAGCATTGTTTGTCCTTTTGTATAGATCAGTTCGGTATGAGGGGTGGAGGGGGCGTTCTAGATCCGTCGGAGAATACTGTTCAACATTTCTTTCCCACCCTACAAGCCTTGCACAACCGTGAGATAGATTTGCTTATAGAAATATGCATGAGGTACAGAGGAAACACGAAAGAGGAAAGATTAATCCATGGGACAGGAGGCGATGCCTGCCAAGGGGTCTGGAGGATAAATAGCAGTTTGTGGATTGGGAAGGTGAAGAAAATTGAGGCAGGGCCAGGGTCGCTGGTCGCCTACCGTAGTCCCTTCATTCCTCCACCCCCTAAGGCAGGATTTAACCGCTGCATAGTATTCCATTGTGCAGGCTGTGACCCCAATATGATATCGGATTTAAACAGCAACCAGCTAACATTTTTTTCTACGATGTTACCTCTAAGATAGTGAGATAGGCCGATAGTTTTCTTTTCTTACTACTGACCTTGTCTGGACTTGGCAATGGGATTATAGTAAAATAAGTTGAAAGTCTGGTAAAACTTTCCTTGAAACCATCTGGATTTGGCTTGTTTTTCAGGGAGAGCCTATTCATGACAGAGATGGGTCGGTAGGGGGGTATCACATATCTTTATGATTTTGTGCTCTTGAATTACTTTCATTTTTTTCTAGAAACATTTCTATTGTAGCTAGTTTTTATAAAACTTCTTTTAAGAAAACATTTAGGAAGATAAAATAATCCGATCTCTACCTAACAATTTATTAACTATATATCATATAAAATATTAATTTATTATTTTTTCACTCCCATATTCACGATGTCAAAGAAAAATTTTCAAAAGTGAGAAATATGACTCTTTTACCAATATAAAATGAGCCCAAGTTCATTATGAAATAAGCTTGTTCATCTTATTCTCTTAGGGTTTCTTAAAATCATCCTCTAGCTGTATTTATGCCTCATTTTTCAATCTTAATATTGTTCACTGTTATTGTTCCATTCTTATTAGTCTTGCCAGAGGTTTTTCCGCTTTATTATTTTTTAAAGAACTAGTTTTCATTTTCTGATTTTTCTATCTATATTTTTGGTTTTCTATTTTATGAATTCTATTGTCTTTCTTTACTTTTGTTACTCAAATTCTCTTACTAGCTACATGACTTGAAAGTTTAGCTTACTTTCAATTTTCTTTTTTCTTTTAAGACTAACAATACTTAAGGCTTTGCATTTCTCTCTGGGTACTACTTTGCTGTGCCCACAAGTTTTGTCATGTGGTGCTTTCATTGTCTTTAGTTTTAAATGTCCCATAACATTATGAATTCCTCTTTACCTAATGAGCTATTACAAATCAGTGCATTTTTCTTTTTTTAATTTCCAATTAAAGATTGTTGCCACTTAAACCATATTTTTATTGTTAATAACTAATTTAAATGATTTGTGAACGGAGATGATATTGAATCTTGGAGACTGTGTTTTCTTGTGACCTAGTGTGTAGTTATTTTAGCAAAATGTAGTGTATTGAAAATGCATTGAAAATGTATTGAAAATATCCTCAGTTTGTTTAGGTGTAAGGTTCTCTATATCTTAGATCAAGTTTGGTAGTATTATTCAAATAGTCTGTATTGCTCCTGGATTGTTTTCTGTTAGATATATCTGTTTTTAATGAATGTGTCAGTTTTTATATCATATGTTTTTAATAAGTGATTATCATTTTTGAGTTCTTATCGTTATTTTTATATCTGTAGATCATAAAACTACCAGTTGAATCATTCCCTTTATCGTGATAAAATAGCTCTTTTTAAATGCTTTTCACCTTTTGTCTAATGCTAATTAGACAATTAACATTATTAATTAATAATAATTGCTGTTTCCAGTTTTTAAAATTATGTTCTCTGTAATCTTTTTATTGTCATCCTTTTGGTTTCATCACATTCTAGGCATGCTCTGAAAGAAGGTTGTGTGTGTGCGTCCTTTCAATTTGACAGTCTCTGTATTTTAATAGGTGAGTTAAATCCATTTATATTTATTGTAGATTATATATTTGGAACAATTTCTACCATTTCCTTCCATTTTTCTTTTTACCATTTACTTTCTTTTTCACTCAGGTCATCTGTTGGAGTCTTAAAGCCATTTGTATTCTGCCCTTCTCTCTTTTTGCTACTTCGAGGAGCTACAGTTGGCATTATTATTATTATTTTGGTAGTTACTACTACATTTTTAACATCCACATAACTGTACGCTGCTTATAGTAATTTAATACAGTACATCTACTTTCTTTTCAAACTCATAGAACCCACACAAGATTCCAAGAATGCTTTATCTGAGAAATCTTAGGAGGACATAAAAATATTATGTTCTGGAAAACTTTGTTAAGTGACTGAAGAAGTGATTATTGTAGTACCAAAACACTGATGGCAGAGATTTGTGAGACATGTTTTAATAAGAAATTTATATTGTTAAGAAAAATTATCCTGGACTTGAAAATCATAAGGAAGCAGGAAGAAGACTGTAGTATGTCCTTCAATGCAGCGGTGAAGCACTTCTATACAGGCCCGCAACAGGATTATTTAATGCTATAGTATTTACCTCTGTTTGGCTTTGCTATTAACTATGAATTAGAGTCCAGGCACCGTGCAGTTAGGTGTAAATTTCTAGATTTTTGTTTGGCAGAGATATAAGTGATTATGTTCAATAGAAAAGATAATCTATTATTTCACTGTCCTGTAAAACATTAACCCATTTTGTATTTAATCTAGCAATCTTATTTTAGCATTCTGTTTGTTTTCCTAAAAATAACCCGTTCCTCAAACATTCTTAGAATCAGCTTTGCCATCCTGCTAGTTCCCTCATTAATGAAAATAAAATATCTAACTTGGGTTTATTCTACATTAGTAAAAGAGTCATATTTTTAACTTTTGAAAAAAATTTTTGACAACATGATGTGTGGGAGTGAAAAAATTATAAATGAATGTTTTACATGATACAGAATTAATAAAGTGTTAGGTAGAAATTGGATTATTTCATCTTCGTCCCTAAAGGTTTATATACTTTAAGTGAGCCAAAAACTCTTCCTTTTAGAATATATGCCCCAATATAAAGGAGTTGGTTATCGTGAGAACAGAAAGTACAGCCTGGAGAGTATCAGAAATGAGTTTGATAGAGGCCAGGTACGCAGCGCTAAGGAGTTTGAACTTTTTCCTACGTGATGGAGAACCACTGAAGTGTTTTTAGCTGGAGGAGTGTGATTTTTACAAGATGATTTCGACAGCAGTCGAATACATACATACCAGCTGAGATGTTGTAGTGTTGGCCCGGGCAGGCTGCAGACCCAATGAGGGTGTGAGGTCTTAAGCCAGAACAGTGCGAATGGGGGATGGAGAAATGAAGTCAAATGTAAGGCAAAATCTGCAAATATCGATAGTGATTGCATTTTACAGAAGCAAAAGAGAAATCAGGAATGGCTCCTACATTCCTGGCTTCAATGACTGGGAGAAGGGAGGTGCTATCGCCTGAGACAGTGAACAAAGAAGGTGAAATAGGTTGGCAGTGGTAGGTTGAAGGGCCTGTGACCGGAATCGTGGGGCTAAGAGATAGTGCTCTTTGAAATGGTCGCTACCCCTTTAAGATCCTGCCCTTCCCCCTTAACCCATCCAAGCCCAGCTGGATTTCCTTGCCCTAATTTACAATCATTGCCAGAGCTTCTGCGCATTCGCTGAAGAAAGAGCTGGACTAATTAAAGCTCTCCTGAGACTCAAGGTATTGCATCTGTGGCTCTCAGCAAAGAGTTCCATTTTGAGAACATATTTTCCCCATCCAACCATTCTTTTCTCATTTTTCTTTTTTTAAGTCTCTTTCGACCATTATTTTTAGTACCCATATCTTTTATACCTCAGGAGTAATGAACATCTGAGTTTATTTTAAATAATAAAAAATATAAATAATGTTTAGAATAGGGTATCTATCCATTACATACTTTTTGGCTTATGGGGGGGCGGCGGGGGAAGTTAGCTTTATCTGGTGAATTACATAAAGCTTTGAAGTAACTATACTCAAACATTATCGCTTTATTATAAAACCTGTACACCTAACCACTGTGTCATGTCTTTTACTTCAGAGGTAATTTTGGTATGCGAGACAATAGACTTCATGTACATTGTGCTGTAACAAATCCTTGGAAATCAGTGTTGTATACTAGCCTAAAGATACCCAGAGTTGATGTCTTTTTAAAAAATCTAAGGAATATTTTTCTTTCAGCATAAACCTTCATGCTAAGATGACCCTTGATTGTCAGTAGGTCACAGTAATGCAACTTAACAAAGATCCAAAGTATAGATGCTTCTGTCAACATTAAGTCGATATAAACACAGTGAATATGAAGGGGAAACCAGGTCATGAGGAAGCCAGGTTTTGTGGATAGAGATGTCTGGGAGGAAGGGGCAAGAAGAGAAAGGGAGGAGAAGCAGAACGAAACTAGAATTAGCAGTGAGATGAACATGTCTGTCACCTGGCCACTCAAACTGAAAACTATCCTTCAGAAACCATCCTTAAGTTGGTGAAAAACATATACTAAAATAGATCTAAATGTAATGTGGAGAAACAGGCCATTTCTATGTCTCAGACCTTAGTAATTAAACAAAACAAAAGAGTATGCATTGAGGTAGGTCGAAAATTCAGACGTTACAGTAGAGGGATGTGAATTATGAGGGAAATCAGCCATTAACTGTTTGATTTTAGATTGTAGAGTATTGTGCTGGCTAAGAGTTCAATT